AAGATGAGTGGACTTCAACTCCCAGAATTGAAGTCCACTCATCTTAAAGTGGCCAAGTTTGGACAACACTGCCTTAAGAGGTTGGCTGGATCAGACCAATGGCTCATTCCATTCAGCATAGACAACCAGGTATATTCAGGAAGCTCACAAGTAAGATGGGAAGAGAATAGCCCACTTCCATTGTGCTCCGTAGTGTTCCCCACATTTTTAAAATATGCTGAGTATGAATCTGGAAGTAGATGCTAGTGGCTCATCCTCCATGAGTTTGTCCAGTTCACTTTTAAAAGCATTTAAATTTGTGGTGGCCACACATCTCCTGACAGCATTGAACTTCATAATTTAACTGTATGCTGCTCTTTCATGTGCATATCAGAAAGTTTAGTGTGAGCAAAGTACAGGAGACACAGGCCTCCATCTTGCTTTATACTGGTATTGATCTTGACTTAGCTTGCCTTGGTAGAGAAAAATAAGACATGAAAGAACATAGGTCAAATGAGAAAGGGGAAAAGAACATTAATTTGAAAATGTTGACAGGAATTAGATCTAAATTAAATTAGTTAGAATTAAATTCTCTAAAGTTACAGAACAAAACCACAATGGAATTTAAATGTGGCCACTCTTCTAAACAAGGCTTTGCCAGCCATCCCTGCTCACAGACCACCTTCCCAGCTGCCATTATCCCCAGCTAGCACAGCCCATTAGAATGATACTCTAAAATATCTGGAGAGCTTTAATTTGGGTTGGGGAGCTTCCAAGTGATGGATCTTGCTAAACACAAAAATGGCAGACAAACTATTTTTCATAGCACCTAAGGTGATCTCATATTTTGTTCCCCACTTTAGCTCAGGCTGTATTTTTTCAACCACTTTAATTGAGAAGTTATTTCATGACCTTTATGTTGATGTTATTCTCAGAATAATAACTGCTTTAAGGGTCTGTAGGTGTATGTTGATGAAGTCAGGATATTCAATATTATGATAAGTTACAAAACTATTTCTTTACAGACTCGATGTTTCTTTTCTTTTTATTTTAGGAGCTAACACCAACAATGCCAAGATTAAAGATGCTGGGCTTATTCTGGCAGACACTCTCCGAGAATTTTTATTTGATCTCAATGTTGATGATGGCTTAGCTGCCCTTGGTTATTCAAAAGCCGATATCCCTGCTTTAGTCAAAGGCACCCTGCCTCAGGTAGGACAGATTGCAAGACTGAGATATTTTTATCTCTGAAAATAACCACCAGGTCATAACTGGTCAGATTCCCATGCTGGCTCTGGTTTCTAGGAGTTGCATTCCCATCACATCTCAGGGGTTCCAGGAGGAAAAGGCTGTTAGAAGAAATTAAAAATATCTATTTTTTGTTTCCTCTAATAGCAGACTATAAACAACAAGTTATTGGAGGGGAAAGAATCAGCCATTTATTTTTATTTTGCAGAAGTTCTCTCTCAAAGAAGTAGGAACTTTGTAAAAAGAAAAAAAAGTAGGCATTATTTGAATGTTGCTTATGCAGGAACTTGTAATGATAATGAAACTTATTCTCAGAAAATGGCTGTCCCATTGCAACAACATTTGATTCACAAACAACTGTGTGTATGTGTGTGTGGTTTGAGTGAAGATATGGGGGGAAAAACATGAAGATACTACTTGTTGTACCAGGCACACAGGTGGGAAACCTATAGCTCTCCAAATGTTGTTGGACTCCATCAACCATCACTGTTGATCACTAGCCGTCTGCCTTGGGATATTGAGTGCTGTAAGCCACTAACATGTGAAAGGCCTCAAATTCCCTAAACCTATTAACTATGGTGTGGGTTTGTGGTTGTTGTTTTTGCTGTTTCCATATCAGCCAATTCTGACAATCAGACTGGTAGTTAAGTTTTGCTAACATGAGACAGGATCTCAAGATCTTCTGTAGGACAGATTCAGGTATTTTTCTTTTTTTTTTCTATGCCATGTATAACACAACTTTTTGAAACTTTCCACAGTCTCAGAACAGTTCACAACACTGTCCATATTTCCAGTGGACATACAGATCAGTTACATAGCTCTTTAGACCCAATGTAGGTGTCTGTCTGTTCAGCACAAGCCTAAAAGGAACAGCAATATAGCAATCTAACATTCAAAAAGAGTATCTTATATTCATTAGTAATAGCAACAAGCATTATGAAAAATTACAGAGAGTAACAATATAATTAATGAATTTAATAAACTATTGATAAGTGACCTATCAGCACAATGAGGCACATTAATACACTTCTGTCCCGAATCATCTTTTCCTTTCCTATGCTTTCTTTTTCTCCACCTTTTGCATCATCTGCCATGATGTCATAGTGGACCTGCTGAAACCAGAGTCCTGGTTTCTCTATTTACTCAAAACTAACTTCCACTGAATTAAAAAGGACCTTATTCCAAAATAAGTATTTATAAGACTGCAGCTTTAGTACTGGAATACCAACATCACATACAGTATCATAGAATTATGGAATGTATATTAGTAGGATTACTTCACAAGGCAAATTCTCCAATAAAGTTCTCATTGTGCCAGATCTTATCTGTGGTGTATATGCTACTTAACTATTGATCTTGCCTAGATCTTTACAGAATATATTTTCTTTTTCTCACTATAGGAAAGAGTGACTAAATTATCCCCTCGCCCTCAAACAGAAGAAGAGCTATCTGCTCTGTTTGAAGCATCTATGAAATTATATTAATTTAGTTCTGCTTTGTTTTTTGTTTTTTGGTGGTGTTGTTTTTTTTACTTTAAGCAATGTTTTCCCAATAACATTTAAGGGAATGAAGCAATTCAAAATATTTATTTCAAAACAGAATGATTCAATTCAAAATATTATATGGAGGTTGTATTTTTTAATGTTATTTCCTATTAAATGTTATAGCATTCATGTTTATTTCTACGCATGATTGTAATTGGGGGTATTCGCATTTCATTCACTAGTGATCACTGGAAGTAATCATTAGTGATTTTATCTTCTGAGAACACTGCAGTAATGAACTTTCTGGTTTGCCATTTCATTATCTGTACAACTGGGTCAAGCAGGGATACAGGAATAAAACTTTTACAAGTTCAAAACATCCTGTGCGTATAGCCCTTTCTCTTCAGAATTCCCATTCAAACAAAGATGCTTTGTAGCTTTTATGATTGCCTTGAATTCTTGGCTCAGCAATATTGCTGCCCACTGATTTTATACTAGGACTGTTTTATGGTAGTACTGTATATTGGTCATGGGTCTGAAGGTCAATCTATTGCTTATAAAAGAAGATGGCAGAGGAGGAAATGGCATTAGTGAAGGAAGACTTTCTGTCCACTAGGGCTACCACATCTGGTCTGCAAACATTAGATTAGAGCAAAGGAATTGAGGAAACTCTTAACTCCTTGCTGCCTTCTAGTGGTTGTCTGGATTTTTTCAACCCAGATCCAGTAGCCCCAGCTTCTACCCACAGGGTAATAAAATAATATATAAGATACACTGTAATATGTCAATTGTCTTTTTTTTGTGGGGGGTGCCTTCAAGTCAGTGTTGACTCCTGGAGATTGCCTGGACAAGTCCTTGCAGTTTTCTTGGTAAGATTTCAGAAGTGGTTTGTCATTGCCTGCTTCCTAGGGGTGAGAGAGAGTGACTGGCCCAAGATCACCCAGATGGCTTTGTGCCTAAGGTGGGACTAGAACTCACAGTCTCCCAGTTTCTAGCCTGATGCCTTAACCACTACACCAAACTGTCTCTCTGTCATAGCTCCTTAAAGCCTTTTTGGCTTCCATAAGCTTTTAGAACAAAGATAAATGAATGAGAAACAGAGAAAGCAAGAGAACAGGACAATTAAAATGTTGAATAATATTGCTTTTACAAATGTAGCTTGATCTCTCAGCAGCTTTTGATACTATCAACTATGGTATCCTTATGGACCACCTGCAGGATTGGGAGTGGGAGACATGGTGTTCCAGTGGTTCTCCTCCTTTCTCTGTGGTCAGGTCCATTTGGTGTGGGCAGAAAGGGAGAGATCAAATCAGAACTCCCTGACATGTGGAGTGCATTAGGGCTTGATGATCTTGCCCCTTCTCTATAACATCTGCATCAAGCCAGTGGATGAGGTATCAGTCAACATGGGGTCATGTACCATCAGTATGCTGATGATATACAATTGTATATCTCAACCCCAGACCAACCAGGTAATAATGTTACGGTCTTGTCCCATTGACTCGAGACTATGGAGATCTAATTGGGGAGGAACAGACTCATATTCAATCCTGACAAGACTAAGCTGGTTGAATATTTGGAATTCTTGGATTTGGAGATGCTGCATTTTAGTCCTGAATGGGGTTACAGTTCCCCCTTCAGGACCGGTGTGCAACTTGGGGGTGTTCTTGGATCACACCTCCTGCTTTAGGAGCATATGGCAACTGTAGCCAGCAAGACCTTAGCATGGATTCATCTAGTACACCAATTGCCCCCTTAAATGAACAAGGAGAACACTTAAGAGAGTAACTCATGCTTTGGTCATCTCATGTTTGGACTATTGAAACATCCTCCAAATGGGGCTGCCCTGGAAGACCACTTAGAAGTTGCAGCTGATCTGCACAGGTACTTACAGGGATGCTTGCCCATGCCGGTGCATTCTGGACCAGCTGTAGCCTCTGAGTGGCCTTCAGAACAACTTCATGTAGAGCACCCTGCAATAGGCTGCAGTAGGCTTCCGGGTACAAATCAAGGTACTGTTTATAGCTTTATGGCATAGGGTCTTGTTACTTGAGGGACCACCTGTCTTCTATAGTTGCTGCTTGTCATATACAACACAACAGAGTTGGCATGCTTTGGATCCCATCAATTAAGCAATGTCATCTGATGGGACCCAGGAAGTTGGCCTTCTTTGTTATGGCACCTGCCCACTGGAATGACCTTCCCCAAAAAGTTTGTATGACCCCCCACCCTGGTCTTATTTAGACAAGCCCCTAAGATTTGGCTCTTTTCCCAAGCCTTGAGTGTCGACCTCTTATAGATTGTCTGAGGTGATGGTGGCTTTTCTCTGGATGGTGAGGTTTTTGGTGGGCAGGTATTGTGTAGATTGTTTTATTTTAAAATTTGTATATTGTACACCCAAAGCCATAATGGAGTTGGGTGGCTTAAAATTTAAATAAATAAATAAATATAGCTGTTGACTAACCTCTTCAGAGGAGCTAGGGCATGTATATATCATAGACTTAATTGGGTTTATCACATGTCCATTTTTTAAGAAATGGACAATGGACAATTAAGCATTATGGATTTTTTAACTGAATAGGCTGACCAACCTTGCAAAACTGCAGTAACCAAAAATCTTTGGGGAGGGAAACACGCTTGTTATATTGCTTGATGGGACTTGGCATGTATATTGTATTCTTCAGCATTATGAAAATGTGTGTGAAGCAGATATATACCCACACACCATATCTATAATCAGGAACAAGGTGCAGAGACCCTCTTCATGTATTACATACTATCAAACTAAAGTTAACAGGCTGCAATCCTTGCATAATTGATGGTGGGAGCAGGTTGCAGAAAGTTGAACTATATAGTCTTCAGAAAGCTGCAGTCACCAATTCCAGCTCCTTGATAAGAGTATAGGTTGACACATATTGCAGATATAGTTGTTATACTGAAGACTATAATTAAAACTTCCCTTTTAGCAGGCAGAACACAGATGGGAATCTATAGCCCTCCAGGTTTTGGATTTCATCTCTCATTAGGCCAGGACTGGGTGTGGACCAAGATAAAAGATGAAAGGTTCTGTAGTCTAGTGAGGTCTCTGGAAAGCGGCACTTCACAAAACATTGAGCATCCTTGATTCTCAAAAGCCACCAGGAACGCAAACTAAAGTTGAGCATCATCATGATCAACAGACAGCATCACTCTTCTGGCAAAAGCTTTTATCCTTAAGCAGAGTATTTTGTTTCCATCTTAAATCTACAGGGAAATTAGAACATGTATTAAACCAAACATGCATTATGATAAAATCTGGAATTTGCCAGCCAGAGTAGAAAATCCTCTGGAGTACAGTGACTTAATTTCAGTGGCAAAACTTTTATTTCAGGGCACGTGAATGCCCTCCCTGAAGCATTTTTATATTTGAGAATGGCAGCTGGGGAAAATAAAGATGAAATGTAATACAGCTTTCCATTTTTGCCTATGCAGAGTAGATCTTTATTATCTTGGATTACTTTTCAACACTCAAAATAACAATCACCTCCCCACCTCTGCTCACTGATGACTAGATAGTGATCTTTTCAATGGTTGGTAATAGATTTCATTTGATTGTTTGACACAAGAACAATGAAGGATAAACAGTTCCATTTGCAGCCATGAAATTCCCCATCTGTTTAGAGTGTTTTTGTTCAAGAAGAACTGGATGGAAACAGATGAACAAACCAGCTGAGTCTGATGTTAATGACATCAGTCATACAAAGAGAACATGTGGCATCATAAATCAAAAACTAATTGAACTTTGTGCTGATTGTATTGACTACTCCCTGAACATTTTAAATATTCCAATGTGCTGTAGAACAATAGCTTTCCTTTCCTCCCAATACAATAGATTTGGTGCCATGGGAGAGCTTCAAGTTGCCCTAAAGATGGTCAAGTAGTGCAAATATTCAATTTTGTTCTTTTGTTTTAAGCCACAACCACTCTGGTATTAAAAGCAAGAGCTGTAGTCTTCAGGTGAGGCTAATTCACAGAATGTTCTCTTTTCTAGGGCATTTATAATAGTGACAGTAAGTTATAATTCTATGATGTCAGTATTTCTGACCTAAAACTCCAATAACCCTTCAATGTGCATTCATAGGATTTCAGATGAAAAGCTTGGTAAAGCAACAGAATATATAAATTTTTGTTCGTTTGTTGGATTTATATGTCACTGACTCACAACAGCTTACAAAGATCCACTATAAAACAAAACAAGCACTAAATTTGCAATTTAAAAGATCAACTTTATAAACTGATTGACAGCTAAAATATCCATGGTATTAGTAATTAAAAGGATCACAATAATAAAAGAACTAAAATATCCTTCATATAATAACAATAAAGTAACCACTGTATGTGCTAAATAATAAAACATCCACAATAATCATAAATAACATTTATCCATTTGTATCTGCAACAGTAACATTATTTTATACATGTATATAAAAACTTTATAAAGAAAAAAGAGAAAGGGTAGTTTCTGACTTTTTTTGGTACAGATACAAATATATAATTCATTCACCTCTTGCTCTAAAATTTAAACCAATACGCAGTACTTCTATAAATCATAAGCAGTATTAATTATCAAACCCCAAAATTAGAGTTTTATTTCTCTCAGTTTCAAGCAAAAAGTCCAAAAGTGGTTTCCAAGAATAAACAAAGCTAGACAAAGTCTTTTCTTTAATCAAAGTAGTCAATTTCGCCATCTCCGCCAATTCCCTTAACTTTATCATCCATTCTTCAGTTGTAGGTATTTGTGGGTCCTTCCATTTCTGCGCATATAAGAGTCTCGCTGCTGTTATTATATATAGAAATAATGTCCCATGCTTTCTTTCGATCTGTTTATCCATCATACCTAAGTGGAAAACCTCTGGTTTCAATTGTACATCCATTTTCAGAATTCTCTGAATTAAGGTACATATCAAATCCCAGTATTTCTTAGCTTTCTTGCAAGTCCATCAAAGATGATAAAAAGTGCCTTCATGTTGATTACATTTCCAACATACATTTGACACTCCCTTATACGTATTTGACAATTTATCTGGTGTTAAATACCAACAATACATCATCTTATAAAAATTATCTTTCAGGTTGTAATTAAATGTAAACTTAATCCTTTGCTCCACATATTCTCCCATTGGTCAAGCATTATATTGCACCCAGCATTTTTTGCCCAATTAATCATGCAGTCTTTAACATATTCATCTTCCATATTTATTTTCAATAAGTTTATACATCTTAGCAATAACATGTTCATCATTAGTACACAAGCCTATTTCAAAATCAGTTTTCTCATTTGTAAAATCATAAATCTTCTTATCCAGTTTAAATCTTTCTAACAACTGAGCATAAGTAGCAACAGTAACATTCTTAAGTATCAATACCAAAAGGTGAAACAATCAAAAGCCCTCCACAACAGCTCATTCTTAGTGGCCACCCAGAAGTCCTGCACAGTGGGGGGCCAGTCTGATGTCACAAAGGAAGCTATTCCACAATATTGGAGCCATTATGAGGAAATGCTACCTCCTGACTTCAACCTGCTTGACTTCATGGAAGTACATGATAACTAAGCCTCTCTCTCAATTTCCATATGAGGGTGGGTCAGTTCTGGTTGGAAGGACAGTCCTGAAGATACCTTAGTACTAAGCCATTTAGAGCTTCATAGATCAAAACCAGCACAGAGCAGGGGTGTAGTTATAAGGGCATGAGTTACTGTTAAGAGGTAGAGCTGCAACTGAACCAGTAGACGACTCTTCTGAGCAGTTTCATATAGATGCTAAATAACAGAAGAGAGGACTGAACTCTGTGGCACCCCATAACTGAATGGCCACCAGGCTGATCTATCCTCCCCTACAACCACTGAATGAAATTGTCCAATAAGAAAGGAATGGAACCACTGCAACGCAGTGTCCCCAGTCTCCAATGCGATTGAGAAGGATAACCTAATTAATGGTATCACATGACACAAAAAGATCCAAAGGGATTAGGAGGGAAACACTACCTCCATCTAAGTCTTGACAAAGATAATCCACTAGCACGACCAATGCCATTTTCATCCTGTGCCCAGGCCTGAATCCTGACTGTAAAAAATCTAGATAATCCATTATTATTATTATTATTATTATTATTATTATTATTATTATTAATTAGCTTCTCCAAAAAGGCAAATATATTCTGAACATTTCCAAAGTACTCCCCACTGTGGTATTTTAATGATGAAAATGTACCACATGCTTCAGAGAGGAAGCTATTGGAACTTCAGTGGCATTTATTCCTAAACTGGTAAAGGACTGCAACTAGCATCTGGTGATCTTAGCAGGAGCTTAACGCTCCAGCAAATTAGACTCACCTATTAAAATGGCTAAATATAGATTTGAGGGCTTTAAGCAAAATGTTTATATTTGAAAACGTTGAATTTGGTGCTAAATGGTTAAGCAATGTAGAGCCATTTGCTCAGTAGTTTGGAAAAATCTAACACTTTCAAGAAATAATATGCTTTTTAATCTCAGCATATATTAACTATTGGAACCTTTTTATTTCTCTTAATAAATTAATACTTCTGATTTCATTTTTCGCTAAAAATGTCTCTAACATAACAAATACTTACAAAAATACAGCCAGCATTCCTTCAGTTTCCACTTACTCTGCTTGAGGGCAGCTGTAAATTATATACTAACCATCAGGGCTAGGCAAATAAAATATTACTTGGGTAGCACACTGTGGTTTTAATGAATAGTACAGCCAAAAGCCCAGCAGAAGAAGAATTCATACCCAGGCAGAGAGGAGTAGAAAATGTTGCAAGGAAGGACATGAAATGAGATGAGATCACAGCATCAGCCCGTCGTTTGGGGACCTGGCAAGGATCAAAGAGCCAGATGGGATTAGCAAAACCTATTGATCAGAAGATCAGAGCTGTTGCATGAAGGCAGCCAAGGAAGAGGGGTGAAAATGTACCAGATTTACAGCTGCAGTGATGAAAATTTAGAAGTCTTCAGTGTGGTTTCTTCCAAATGTGAGTACTAGGCCAAGCAGAGCTTTTGATGGGATAGTGACTTTTATTGAACGGGTATGTTAAGGGGAAAAAGCTTTCAAAAGTACATACTCAGAAATATGTTCAATGTACTTGTTGATATTGCTCTCTCTATAAAATATTTTTATTGGAAGAAGCTGTGCAATTGTGTGCCAAATTTCAGGTAGTTTTGGTGCTAAATCCCCAACATTACTAGTAATCAAATATGACATTAGGGACATGAAAAGGCAAACCCCAAGCAGTTAGTGCAGAAAATGGGTCTGCTTGTTTGTGATACACAGGGACAAGGAGAGACTATTTTTAAATTTATGCTATTTCTGGAACAAATTAAATATTTAATTTTAGTGCAAGTCACTTACAAAGACACATCCATAAGATCTTCATGAGAACAATTCTTTTTAAGCTCTTACATTAAAAAAGGGAGAGGGATTAAGTAGGAAAATCTATTTTTGGAGAAAAGACACCAAGTTTTGATTTATAAACTCAGTGGTGATTTTCATATTTATTTTGGGGTTTTGTGTGTATGAGTTGATGAAATAAACTTTGGGATTGCAAGTCTATTCTTATCAAATACTTCCAGAGTTTTTAGTATAGAGGCATACCAAAATTATCAATGAAACCTATATCCATGTTTGCTTTAAATGCAATTGTTTATTTCTACTTCTATTATTCATTCACTATCAGTGGTGTATAAAAGTAATCCAAGTGAAGGGACAGGCCTACCAGCCAAATCCCTATCCCATAGTTTCTGTAGACCACTGCATCCTGAATCCACTGTCCAGTTTTAAAATAATAAATCCCAGGACCATCTTTTCATCCACTAAATCTTTGTCATTTCTTTCTATCTAAGCTTGGCTGAGGAAAACTGGCTATTGACAAATACATAGACTGCCATCAAAACACATAGACCACCATTTTCTGAAGCTGATAATGCTATTACATCTCGGCACTGCTATTTAAGTTAAAAGCAATATCCTTGGCAACCTAAATGAACCTACCTCTGCTTGCAAAAACATAAAACAAGGCTGCATCCCTGCCCCGTTACTGCTCAATGTTTACATTAACAATATTGTGATGATGTTGGCTGCGCCAGAATTCTATCCTCCCTCCCTTGCCCATGGCCCCATTTCTATTCTCCAGCCATACTGTCTATAACTCATGTAGGCCCCTGAAGAAGCCTTAAAGCTCTGTTGCTTTGCTGCTCCTGAGTATGCCTTGAAATAAACTACCCTAAAACAAAAGTGTTGGTGTTCTCTAGGAAACCCTTTAAGCCCCCAGTTAGATAGATGATTAAGCAAACCTATTAAACCAGTTAAATCCTTTAAATATCCAGATGTCCATTTTCAGTCCTCTGCCTGCTGGTCTATTCAAGAGAGATATTAGTAAGAGCTCAGAAAGCATCTCTTGCAATTGCTAATTTTACAGGTCAGTCTGGAAAAAAGATATGTCCCAGCAGCTGTTAAATATTTAAAGCTAAAGTTCTGGATACGATGCTATATGGTGCTCAACTGTGTATCTACAAAGAATTCTATAGCTTAGAAGCAATTCAATCAAAATTTTTAAAAATCTTATTCAATCTCTAATGCTTTAATATGACTGAGGCTAAGATGCATTTCCCTTAATCAGGGCCTGATTAAGACTTTGTCACCTCAGATTTTGGCTGAAGCAAGTTAATTGGGGATACTTCCTTGATCCAGCTCACCTTGCTAGACAAGTTCTCTTCCACCCAAAGAGACATATTAAGGATCATTTGGCATGTAGCAGTCTTTTTTTGCCAGCATTATCTGCTTCAGGTCTTGATAGAACTCTGGTTGAACTGAAGGAGAGAATTTGGAATTGATATCCAAAATGGTAGACCCAATGCTTCCCTTCAACTGTCAACAATTGCCTCCCTCAACTGTCAACAATTCCTTCGACAATTGCCTCTCTTCCCTCAACTGTCTAGATCAGTGTTTCTCGACCTTGCCAACTTTAAGATGCGTGGACTTCAACTCCCAGAATTCCCCAGCCAGCCATTCCTTCACACATCTTAAAGTTGGCAAGGTTGAGAAACACTGGTCTAGATATTTCTTGAACATTCTGTATGCCCCTCATAGGAGACTACTGTATTTATCCTGGCCCAAATTTGGACTTACGGGGGATGCGATGGCGCAGCGGCTTAATGATGCTGAAAGTTGCCGGCCAGAAATGGTCGACGCTTCAGCGGT